CCCCGCGCAAATTGTAGGTGCACATTGTGTAAATTCATCTTGGAGACCAATGATGTGAAAGTAGCCCTTGGTAAAGCTTTGGTTAATGCATCTGCCAGTTGCTCTTTTGTGGGTATGTATTACAATTTGATGGTGTTGTTGGCAATCTTTTCTCTTATCAAGTGACAGTCCAATTTTATATGTTTTGTTCTCTCATGGAACACTGGATTAGCAGCCATAGCCATTGCTGATTTACTATCTGTAAACACAACAGCAGGTTGTGTATGAGAAAGATTGAAGTCATCAAATAAGTATAGTAACCACTAAAGCTCACAAGTAGTAGAAACTAAAGTTCTGTATTCTGCTTCTGCTGAGCTTCTACTAATTGTGGTTTGCTTTTTGGATTCCAGGATATAAGAGAATTGCCAAGAAAAATGGTAAAGCCAGTAACACTTTTCCTGCTATCTATACAACTAGTCAGGTCAATTTCACTGTAGGCAATAAAATTTAAATGTGAAGATCTAGGAAAGAGAATACCTTGGCCAACTGAGCCCTTGATGTACCTCAATATTCTATGGGCAGCAGATAAATGAACAGAAGTATGATTGCTCAAAAACTGACTCAAACATTGAACACTATATGAAATATCAGGTCTAGTGATGGTTAAGTATAAAAGTCTACCAATTAACCTTCTATACTCAGAAGCATCTACCAGATCATTCAAATCAGATTGAGCAGAAAATTTACAAGTTGAATCCAATAGGGTTAAAGCATGCTTACTACCCCAAAAAACTTGTGTCTTTGAGAATGTCGAATGCATATTTTCTTTGACACATGTTTATGCCATGTTCAGAATGAGCAAATTCAATACCTAGAATGTATTTCAGTTGCCCAAGGTCTTTAATGGTAAAACAGTTATGCAAATGTTGTTTGATTATAGTAATTAAAGACAGGTTATTACCACAAACAATAACATCATCTACATAAACAAGTGGTGCTGTGAAATCAGAATTGACAGATAATGTGAACAAGGAGCAATCAGCAACAGATTGTTTAAAGTCATAATCAAGTAAGCATGATGTCAATTTTTTGAACCACTGCCTTGAGGCCTGTTTAAGGCCATAGAGGCTTTTCAGTAACCTGCATACTCTCTTATCAGATTTATCAAGGTATCCAGGGGGAGGGGGAAAAAAAACTTCTTCATTTAAGTCACCATGAAAAAATGCATTATTAACATCTAATTGGTGAATGTGCCAGTTTTTAATAGATGCTAAAGCCACAAGAAATCCGACAGTTGTAATTTTTGCAACTGATGAAAAAGTATCAAAATAATCTATGCCTGCCTCTTGAGTATACCCCTTTGCTACTAATCTAGCTTTATACCTTTCAATGCTACCATCAGATTTGTATTTGATTTTATAAACCCATTTACACCATATAGTGTGTTTATCATTTGGTAAATCAGTCATAACCCAAGTTTGAGTTTTTTTCTAAAGCTTGAATTTCATTATCCATGGCTTCTTGACGTAATGGATTTTTAACAACTTGAGAATAAGTTTTGGGTTCTGATTTTGTAGAAATGACAGCAGTAAAACATTTATGAGAATCAGAAAGGTTAGAGGTAGATAAATAGTCAGAAATAAGATATAAAGATGTACCAAAAATGCATTGTAGAAGATTGAAAGAGGATGCTGGTTGGGTAGGAAGATTGTGAGTGTAGATGTCTAGGTAAGCAGGGGCTTTCCTTTGTCTAGTAGACTTTCTGAGTTGTGGATGAGAAATAGAAGAAGCAGTAGTGGTAATAGTAGGATTGGTGGTGCTGGGACTTGTAGAAGAAGGTGTTTGAGCAATATTAGGATTGGTAGTAGTAGTAGTATCAGGAGGTGTTTGAGGAATGTTTGTATTTGTAGTTAAGCTGGGGACAACTGAGGGTAATGTTGGAATAGCTGTATGGTTAGGAATTTTTGTATCATGGGAGAAAGTAGGTGGAGAAGGAAACAATGGATGGTTTGGAGGGTCAAAGACTGTTTTGAATGGAAATATATCTTCATAGAAAATGACATTTCTGGATATTAGTGTTTGCTTTGTATCAAGGTTGTAAAGTCTATAGCCTTTACAAACCAGGGGAAACCCAAGAAATATGCATTTTGAAGCTCTGGGTTCAAATTTGTTTATGTTTGCAATCAGGGTAGAGGCATAGCATAGACATCCAATAACTTTTAAATGATCATAAGAAGGTGGCTTGTTGAAAGCATTCCAAAAGGGATTTGTTTTGCAAAACAGAAGATGGTGCTCTATTGGTGATGTGAGCAGCAGCCAAAATACAGTCAATCCAGAAATGAATAGGTAGAGATGCATGAAACATTAATGCTTTAGCTACTTAAAGTAAGTGTTGGTGTTATCTAAGAGTTTTGATTTTTGTATTAAACTGAGTAATGACCATGTTGTGAAAATGAAGAATAAACCTCTTAGTATCAGATTTGGAAACTAGTGGATAGATCCAAGTAACTCAACTATAGTTAGAAAGTACTTGAATCCTGAGTGTGATTTTACAGAAAAAGGACCCCAAAGGTCACAATGAATAAGTTCAAAAGGCATTGTAGACACAAAATGACTTAATTGAAAAGAGAGTTTCTTTTGTCTTGCAAAATGGCATACATCACATGAGTTACAATTAATACCAGTATGAGAAGATTTACACATAGGTAAGGTATGTAGTTTATGAAAGGAAAGATGACCTAGTCTATGATGCAACAAGATGGAGTTTGCAGATACAGAGGTGGCAGAGACATGGTCAGTGGCATTTACAGGTAAATGAAAAGATACATCAGTATCAACAGAGAGAAATATTATTGAGAGAATGTGGAACGATCTGAAAAGTGTAAAATGAGAATTAGAGTTTGTTGTTGTACACAACACCCTATTTATACTAAAGTACCTATAACTAAAGCTGTCAAACACAAATGACAACTTATCCTTATTATAAATGATAAAAGGCTAAAATAGTAAAACTACAACTAAGATACATGTATATTATCATCTATTATTACATAAAAAGACAACCTAAATAATTCTAAAATAGTAACTAAAAAAAAAGATAAAATCCCGCCTAAACAAATAACTAAAAAAAGTAACCTTTTTTGAATTTTTTGCAAATGCCGCCTTATTGGATAGCTTGATTCTTTTGGCATGTTTGAAAAGTTTTATCCACATCCCACATTTTTATGTTGCCGTTTAAAATTTTCGGAAATTTGATGAACAAATCAACTTTAAAACATTTCAGATTAGGTTTGTTAATAATATTAAAACAAATTACTTTAACATTCAGAAAGCATATCATTTTTTTTATTTTTTTTTTGGACACTCCCAAATATTTTTGGTGAATAATAAATTAACATTTAATATTGAAAGAAAATCACTTTTAACATTTGGCAAATATGTCAATTTTTTTTGCCACTCCCAAATATTTTTTGTTGAATGAATAAATTAACATACAATATTGCATTTCGAACCATTAAATAGCAACATTTCAATTTAATTAAAATCATGATTCCTTTAATTAAAATTTTCCAAAATAATAAAATCAAATCACATCAAATATTTTTAATAATTATCACCGAAATAAATAACCATTCAACTATCCCAACACTTTTGATTGTGATTGATGTAGAGTTTTACATCATTTTTTTTTTCTATAAAAATCAGAAAAAAGAGCTCCGCTTAAAACACTTAAAACAATTGAAACACACACACACACACACACACATATAAGTTTGTATTTACTTGAAATAATAACTAAAATTTTGCCTACAAATTTTATTTTGCCCTTTATTAGTAATTTTTTTAAAATATTTTAGAAAAATGGTTGAAATTCAAATAAAAAACCAATACAATTAATGTACATAATCATTATGGTCAAATATGACTACTATTAACATTCAAATGATACAAATATTTTATTTAAATATTATTTCATTTGAGTTGTGATTATATACAAATTATTTTCTTAAAATACATTGTTCACTCTATCCGATGCCACAATTTCATTAACGAACTTATAAATAAAAAACCTACACAACACATTTAATAATAAAAAATCTAATTAACAATTTTTTATTTTTTATTTTAGAAAAAAAATTATGCAACACATTTCATAATAACAAATACAATTCGTAGCTAGATATTGGTAATCCAAGCTAGAGATGTTAAATGGTCCTTATCCCAATAGGCCGGCCCGTTTAACCCGTAAAAAAGCAGGGTTATGGTCATTTATTAGTAGCCCGTTTAAATCATAATTTTTTAGGCCTAGACTGTTTACCCCGAAGCCTGCTAGGACTAGCCCGAAACCCGCTAGGGCTAGCCCGTTTAATTAAGGTTGGGCGGTGTAAATATTAGCATTAAGTAAGTAATACGCTTTTAGATTCCCTGTATATTAAATTTTTGCTATTCCACTTGTCATGTAAGTATGAGTTGTAATGGATTATTGTGATTTTAAAAGATAATTATTAACAATATTGTTATCGTACTTCACACCAAAATATTTAAGCACATCAGAACGACTAATATGAAACACATGAAACATAGTGATAGAATTTATAGCGAAAATTCCTAAGACGTACAAAATAAGTAGTAAATGGTAATTGTAAGTAATAGTTTGAATATTTTTTATGTTTTGAGAAAAATGTGTTAGTTAAGAGTTTGTAATGTATGTTCATATATGACGTGTAGTTGTATATATAGAGAGTTAAATACTAAATAGCCATTGGAAACAATCGTTAACTAGCCGTTGTTATTTTTTTCTAAACGGAAATGTGTTACTATTACTCCCGCCTCTACAAATTAATTAATCAAATTATGGTTTAAAGTTATAAAAAATAATAATTCGATTTTGGTATAAAGTGGACGATTTTTAGATTTCTAATGCTATTTTTTTTTTTTTTGTTAAGAAATGTGTTATTAATAAATGTCTTAATATATGATATGAAGTGGGCGATTTTATTTTGATATGAAATGTAGGGATTTAAATGATATGAATTTTATTTATTATGGCTATGAAAGTCAAATGTTAGGTTGATTTGTTGTAAAATCAAGGTGATATGATTATCAAATTTTAGCATATATATTGATGATAATTCGACAAATGGTATATATTCCTCTTGAAAATAATAAAAAATATTTGAAAAAACATTGGTTAATAAAATTTAAAAGTTTTAATTAAATTCTAGAGAATGAGTTAATAAATTTGAATATTAATAAGGTAAGCGGCAATAAATCTAGAAAATTGTGAGATAATATATATATATATATATATATATATTATTGTGTAGTCTAAATTTTAGTTTCAAATTTAAAAGTCAATAAGTAATTATTCATAACTTATGGATTAATATTAACTTGGACGTAAATGAGATAGTCAATTATTTATAGTTTAATAAATTACTCAACTACTTAAATATTTTTAGTTTGGATAGTTTATACAAAATATAAATTTATTTAAATTAATGAAACAATATAAGTTTTATAATTATAGTTATTATTCACATAGATTTAAAGATATGATAAAATCTTTCCAAAACTAATTATTTTATGAAATCAAATTGTAGTCTAATCAAATTTCTAAATGAAAAATTTAAAATGACACTTATTTTAAAATAAATATAACGCAATTTATTATCAGCTGTAGGAGTTGTGTACATCAAATATACATGTTATATGTAATTTTGCACAATTTAAATTTCATATAATATTTTTAATAAATTAATATAATAATTCGTGTTACGTATTAATTCTTTATTTTAAAATTAAAAGTATTAGTCAACAAACATTTTTAATTTATAAAAAATAATGAATATTTCTTACCCGTGCATCGCACGAGATTCGTACTAGTTCTCTTTTGTAAATACCATTTTTTTAGTTTGTTTCAGTTTTATAGTTACTTACATTTTAAAAAAATATTATCATAATAAGAAAAAGATATTTTAAAATTTTTTTATTCACATAATTACATAACAACACACTTATCTTAAACTAGAAAACATCACCAAAGCCCAAAAAAATAAAAATAAAAAATATTAGATGACTGCATTATGTAGGTTTAACTGTTAGACAATCATAGTTTTTTGACGAATATAAATAAAATAATTCTAATTAAATATTATATCTTAAAATACTACAAGCATTAATATAATATTTTATGATATTAATATGTATTTTTATTATATAAAAAATATGAAAATTTTTTAATATAAAATATGAAAATTTGACCCATAGGTCCTCACATGGAGTGAGGTCCACTTGATTTTTTATTTTTGGTAGGTCCCACTCAACGTGAGTGTTATGTACACCAATACGTACAATATTAATTATATTATGTACTTATAACATTTTTCGTAATAATTAGCAAAAATTTATGATTAAGAAAAGGTTGCTCCTACACAACCACTTTCAAGTTTCTCAACTTCGAATATTTCAATCACACTTTAATAACAAAGCCAAAAAGCAACTCAAAACAAACACGAAAGTACGAAGAAACAAACTCCGAGAAATAACGAAACATTCGAATCACAT